GTGAACGTTAGAAAATGAAACCGTTCAGATCGGACGGTCCCGATTAAAACACATATATTAATTATTTTCGTCTAAAATCTGCCTCTCCCCCTATTTAAATTCCCCCGTATTCCAATTCATCAGTGCAGGGCGCCGCACACCGAAACACTATTTCCTTCGAATTTCTTCCCTCTTGTTGTTTCGTTTCTTCTTTAAGTTGAAACCTGCAATCATCGAGTCGACCATCTCCGCAGTCGGTAAAACTGGACTTAAAAAAGAGTCTTGAGTCTGTGTCAGTTGTTTTGAGAAAATTTGAGTAAAATTTTCTCATGAAATACTCGTTGGGCAAAAGGGCTAAGGATGTCCAACATTCCGACTTGTCTATCTGAAGTTAGCCTTACCCTTTTTCGCCTGACCATGTCCATCGCCGATCCTTGGCCCTTCTCTTAAAATCCACTGCATTCTAACAAAACCCAGCTTTCTATACAGAAAAATTCGAAGACTGCAAGCATCAAAAATTGCCAAACGCGCGCACCATGAGAAAGACCAGAGGTTTCAAGATCGGAAAACGATTGGTTCGGATCTGGGGATGGATCGTCCGAAAAACCCGAAGCGCATCCGGGTACCAGCGGCTGCGATCACCGAAAACAGCGTGCACGTTGAAGCCCATTTCCAAGCTCCTCAGCTTGGGCCGACGCTTAACAAGCGGAGCCAAGTCAATCTGCTCGGCCAAACCCGGGTCGGGTTACATGCGGGTCGGTGAAGAACCGGTGAAGGAAAACTCGAGGACTGTACCGAAGGGTTACTTGGCTGTTTACGTCGGCCAGAAAGATGGAGATTTTCATCGGGTGTTGGTTCCTGTGTTTTACTTTAATCACCCGTTGTTTGGCGAGCTTTTGAGGGAGGCGGAGGAGGAGTACGGGTTTAACCAACAAGGCGGCATCACGATTCCGTGCCGGTTCTCGGAATTTGAAAGGGTGCAGACCAGAATCGCAGAAGGGTCTGGCAGAAAGAAGATGCCATGGAAGCGCCACAACTGACTTGGGTGGCGGTTTACCGGTGCTAAACGATGAGAACGACGATTATTATTCCAGTCGGTGATTTTGATAAGGATGTGTAGCCTGGACAATTAAACCTTCGTGTTTTTGGGTTAAATCTTAAATGCCATTTTTAGTTTTAAACTTTTAATTTTAAATATTTTTACTTTATAATTTTTTTTTGTATTTTTTTCTTTAAACTATAAATATATATATTTTTAATTTATGACAAGAAAAAGCACAAAAAAATATTTAAAATTATAAGTTTAAAAATTAAAAGGCAAAACCCTTAAATTCACCCTAAAAAAATAGCGACATATCTATCCTTAAAAAAAAAAAAGACAAATTGTCCCTCAAAAACATAAATCAATACAAATCATTCCTTTTTCAACGAAAAACGTTAGAATTCTGTTTGTCACGTCAGCATTTTTTAACAGAAAACGTTGAAAAAATGGTAACTTGTATTGATTTATGATTTGGAGGGATAATTTATCCCTACCTTTTTTAGAGGGGTGGATGTGTCCCTACTGATATTTTTTAAGGATTTTACTAAATTAAAAATGGCATTTAACTGAAATCTAAAGATCTTATATTTAAAATATATTATGATTGTGAGTGAATTTGATAAAAGTTTTTAATGAATTTTTTTTTTATATTGATTCATTAAAAATATTTAAATCATTTTACAGGTAGTCAAAATATTTTTATTATCAAAAGTCTTAATTCCTTTTATGGAAATGTATTTTTCTTTTTTAATGTTGTATGAATGGTAGAGATGTAAATATATAGAGTTCTTTTTTTCTCATCTTATTTGTTATTTTTTCAAGATAATTATCATGATTGTGAAATTAATATATGATAATTATGTGTTTTCAAAATATATATACCACTCTTGTGGATATATAGAAAATATACACGATTGTTAAGTGAGCATTTAGAGTAGTTTTTTAAATATAATTCATAATTAATAGTTAATATCTAATGGTTGATAATTATTATTATTTATAATTTAAAAATGCTGTGTACACCCTTCAGTTCAACACCCGGGATGTACACCCTTAATAATCGAGTAATTTTAGCAATAAAATTACAGATTTAACTTTAAAAGTCATTTTCCACTTAATACCCCTTTTTCTTCTTGTTTTCTTCTTGTCTCTGCATCTTCCTCTACTGAACTCTTCTCCTTCCCCAAAACTAGATCTGCTTCACCCTTTTATTTATTTATTTTTTTTGGGGCTGCTTGGCGATGACGATGATGACGGTGTTAGAAGGAAAATGTCCAAATTTGGTTTTTTTTTTTTACCAAATCTGGTGTTGATTGAGGGATAAAGAGAGAAAGAAAATGAAAGGAAGAAATTGTAGGTTTCATTGGGGGAGTTTCACCAGATCTTTGAGGGGATGGGTCTCGATGGATGCATTGTTCTGGTATGACGAAAGATCGTCACTTCATTCAATTTCCACTGCAATTTCCTTTTTCTGTTGTTGTTTCTTATTCCTTGTCCAATTTTTGACTTTTCTATGAATTTGATTCGATGCTTCGAGCGGCCAGAGAGAGAAAAAAAAAAAGGAGTCTAGGTTCTCCAAGAGAACCCAGATTTGGGTCTCTGAGAAGAACCCAGACTAGGCTCTCCTAGAGAACCTAGACCTGGGTTCTCTTGAGAACCCAGGGTTCTTCTCGGAGAGCCCAAATGGGTTCTCTAATGGGTTGTCTAGAGAACTCGGACAAAAAAAAAAAAAAAAAAGGATAAATTTGTAATTTTACTTTTAAAATTATGTGGTTAAGTGGTTTGTGCACCCCGGGTGTTGAACCGAGGTGTGCATGAATCACGATCCTTTATAATTATAAATATTAATCTATTTGATTAAAATTAATAATAAATAATTGTTAACAAAACTTCAAACCAGACACCCCTAAATAAGTTGTAGCTTAAGACCATGGTTATAGCACACAAAGAATTATTAAGGTAACATAAAAATAATATAACTGAATGCTGTTTGATTATCAGAAGCAAATTGAGCAGCTGATATATATTATTTAACCCACAATCAACTTATAAATTGATGTTTCTAAGCATCTTAGCAACTTTGAATTGATAAAATTTATAGACTAAACATACTTATAGTGTTTTATATAACCATAACATGGTCCATAACTCAAATGGTAACAAAAAATGATTCATTAATAATGACATTACAGTAGAGTAGTTTTGTAGTTTTTTTTTTTAATGAAAAATAGAGATTTTTATTGAAAGTAAAATTAAATTACATTAGAATCTCTATATATCATGGAACATTATCTATCACACTATTTATTTGTTTAAATTATGTTCATGATAAATTTAAACAATTAAGTATAAAGAATTATATGCAATTAGGAATAAAAAATAATCACTATAAGAGTAAAGACAAAGCTACAAGATAAATAACCAAGTAGAGTGTATAAATCAGTATGCATATTAGCATAATATAACAAACCATTGTCCATTCTGAGATTTCAAAACCTCTACGACAAATACACTAATTACTTCAATTTCATGTGTGGGTATCTATAGACTAAAATTTCGATTCAATTACTTGGTATGATTAATTATTGTACTTAATTACTTTATTTTAAATCCATTTTCAAAGGCAAGTCATAATTTAGAATGGGGTAGGAAAATAAAGTTGGTTATAGACTTAATGTGTTGGTCGGCTAGAAAAAAAGAAAAAGCGGAAAAAAGTTGGTGAGCATATGGTTGGAGGAGTGTCAACTATCATATTTTCATGATATGCTTGTACACTACTACTATACTCGGATCAATATCTGTAAATTTTGAAGGAAACCGGAAGAAAACGTGGTAGATTCATCTTAAATTCTTTATTCTTCCGCATTTGCTTTTGAAATTCATGGCCATGGTACTTGAAAAAGCGAATATCATGACTCAGCGCCACGAACAGGAACCATATTTCAAAGATTCGCCCCTATCAGGGAGATTTAGGTTGGGTGACTTGGGTCTCGCATTGGATTTCCTTGACATGAAATTCTTTTTTTTTTTTTTTTTTTTTTTAATGCCCATTCGGTTAACTTTTTAACACACCTTATCTTTAAGGAAGTAATATTTTTTTATGTTTACTTTCCCATTCAAAATATATGCTATCAGCACCCGCAGCTTCGGTTGCTTTAGTTAAGTGTATTTAAATTCATGATTTTGGTCAGAATTTAAAATTGTAGTGTGCAACTTCTTATTTCTCCCTCACATTTTCCCCTGTTCAAAAATATATATATATATATATATATGCTATCAATATTACCCAAGTTCATGATTATTGAAAAAAAAAAACTCGAATTCGGAAGATCAATTTTTAAGTTAATGTAAGATTTTATTAGAGAGCAGAAAGGAAGGGAAATGCTACTTTTAGTCTATTATTGTCCTTTGACTTTTTTTTTAATGATTGGTTGCATAGTGAGGGGTAATCTTTTATCTCACCCTACCTGTATGTCATACGATTCGAATTCAAAATTTTTTATATTTAATGAAAATAAATTATCATTAAATTATGTAAATTGTTGAAATTGTCCCTTGGCTTTGTGAAAAAACGTGGCTTCAACAAAATTTAATTATAACGCGTATGTTGTGCAATAATTTTTAAAATTAAATGCAAGAAGTCAAAGTGAGCCAACAATAACCTTTGGTTCTCACTGATTAATAAATGTTTATTTTATAAATTAAATTTAAGATTAAAGTTGTACTCAATTAATTTCTTTAAAAAGATTTAAATTGTTATAAAGATGCATATTTAAAATTATTGAAAAAAAAGATTAACCTTTACGTACACATAAATTAATTAAAAAACAACTTAAACATATCTTAAAAAATAAAACAAAAAGTAAAACAGACTATAAAGGTAATAAAGTTATTAGTAAGTTAATTAGCAAGCCATTGATCGTGTCCTTTGCTTTCGGTTTTATTAATAGTTGTTTATTGAATTACTCCTAATTTATTTTAAATTTTCTTATTGCAATGAGTTTTCTCAAGATTAAATTAAGGAAAGAAATAGACAAAGAGATCAGACAAATTGGTGGAAAAGGGTGAGTAGTGAGAGTAAGCATCACCAGGGAGCATGGTGGTGGTGGTGGTGGAGTGTGAGTGGGAGAATCTGGCAGTGGAGATCACATAAAACGTTGTGCGACGGTCCCACCACAAATAGATTACTGTATTTAAAAAAATAAAGATTTTTTTTATTTCACTTTGATTGCAT